GATACAATTGTTGGCGCCTTTGCATCTCTAGCAATCCGTATCTGATTACTTCACAACTCTTTGATATCATATTTTATTTTTTAAATAATTATTATTTTAAGTACCATTGCAGCAAGCACTCCCGAAGAGCACCTTTGTTGCAATCTGCTAAAAAATACTTGGGTAGTGTGATTTTTGTTCCTCATGTATAACCTTTACAGACAACTTCATTATCGATTATGAAATACCATTGCAAAAATGTGAATTCGAAAATTAATGCGAAACAAAAAATCATACACTAAAAGGTACTGATTTGCTTTTCTCTCTTTCTTTGAGTCACTAGACAAAAGTTCACCATGAAATGATTATCTCCGTCTTGATTACAGAGACGTTATTGATATTACTTTCGGATAAAACTCTTACTAATAAGAAACGAACTTGAGTGTGGGTGTGGTGCGGGTACGTAGGTGAAGTTAGCAGCTGATTCGAGTAATTCTGGCAGCGATTCGCCTAGAAACTTGGTCCAACGTTCCTATTCTCGGTGCGAGTACAACTCGATGAGCTCTATCTAGTGGCATTATTAGATTTTCCATAGCTCAAACTATATGTCCAAAAATTCCAAATACTGGTATTTTTCATACAATCCACATAGTAATTTCGGCAGCGATTCGTCTATGAACTTGGCTCACCGTTCCTATTCTCGGTTCAAGTACAACTCGGCGAGCTCTATCTAATGGTATGCTCATATTTTCGATATCTCAAAGTAAAATTTTCACATCCTCGCTATCGCCATCTATCAGCCGAAAAATCATACTTTGGTTTCTCGAAAAATCTGAGCATATCATTGGATAGAGCTCATTGAGTTGTACTTTGAATAAGAATAGGAGACTTGGACTAGGTCGTTGGGCGAATCGCTGCTGAAATTATTGAAACCGCCGTAGGTGAAGTTAGCAGCCGATTCGAGTAATTCTGGCAGCGATTAGCCTAGGAACTTGGTCCAATGTTCCTATTCTCGGCCAAAGTACAACTCGACGAGCTCTATCCAATGGTCCAATCAGATTTTCCATAGCCCAAACTATGTTTCCAAAAATCTTGAAACACTAGTATTTTCCTTTTTGGAATTCTGGCACCCTCTTTGAGCAATTCCAGCAGCGATTCGCCCAACCACCTGGTCCAAGTCTCCTATTCTCGGTCCAAGTACAACTCAACGAGCTCCATCAATGATACGCTCAGATTTTCGAGAGATCAAAGTATGATTTTTGGGCTGATAGACGGCACTAGTGAGCATCTGAAAATTATACTTTGAACTGTCGAAAATCTGAGCATACCATTGGAGAGAGCTCGCCGAGTTATACTTGGCCCGAGAATAGGAACGTTGGACCTAGTTCCTAGGCGAATCGGTGCCGGAATTAGTATATGGATTGTATGAAATTTACAGTATTTTGGGATTGTTGGACATACAGTTTGAGCTATGGGAAATCTAATGGTACCATTAGATAGAGCTCATCGAGTTGTACTTGAAGCGAGAATAGGAATCTTGGACCAAATTCCTAGACGAATCGTTGCTACTTTTACTTTTATGGTCTTCTAGGTCCTTTAGTGAAATATGAGTATTTTTGGATTTTTGGGACTTTGGTTTGAGCTATGGAAAATCTAATCATACCGTTAGATAGAGCTCATGGAGTTGTACATGGATCAAGAATAGGAACGTTGAACCAAGTTCCTAGGCGAATCGCTGCCAGAATTATTCGAATCGACTGCTAACTTCACCTACGTCAAAAAGTCACGGTTCTATATATAGGACGCCCGTCGCAAAAGGATTAAAATATTGAAACACTCATCAGAGCTCTGCATTACAATTGATAAATAAAATTGAAAAAACAAAGTTTAAATTAAATTGAAAATAAACAAAAACAAAAATTAAATTAAATTTAAAATAATAAGAAAAAAGGCAAATGAAGTGCAAAGGGTCCAAGTTAAAATGGAAAAAGGCAAAAACTGAAAGCTGCTAAACGTAATAATGGATTCCAACTTTTTTGCAATTTCGGTGGAATAAAATTGAATAATATTTAATAATAATAAATTTTGAATATTCTTCTCATTATATCGCATGGGCGAAGTATATTAAATGGCAAAAAATAAATATAAAATAAATGTAAAAGAACAAAAAAAGTATTTTCGAATTATATTAAATAATGATGTTAAATTTTGAATAGTCTCCTCATTACAAGACAGTATTGAATTATATCAAATAATAACAATAATAACTTTTTAGTAATCTTCTAACTGCAGCATAGTATTATATTAAAAGTAAGAAATGACAGTTAAGTTCATATTAAAATAGTAATCAATTTTGAATAATCTCCCACTAATATCGCATTATACTAAATGGAAGTATATAATATAGAGTTTAAATCAATACCAAATATAATACTTGAATTAATTTTTTATAAATCTCTTTTTTGGATTATCAAATTAGATTTTATCTTAATTATAAAATAATACAATTATGGATTCGAATGGCTTCCTTTTTCTTGATTTGAACGACTTCTTAGTCAGTTCTTGTAAAAATCAACTGATATCAAGCAGAATTGTTTGTATTGTTTAAGACGCGTATTTTATAATAAAAAAACATTGGCCACATATAAAAATATTAAATGATTTCGGTTGTTTCGATTAGATTAACAAATTTACCAACAGCAAGATTATCTAAGAATGGATCTTTTGTTTGAACACTTGAATGATGAATTATAAATATCTTTTAAGATAAAATTGACAAATTTACTAACAACAAGATTATGTATCACGTTAGTTGGCAGGTAACTAAACCAGATGAAATTCTTGCTATAATTATATGACGTTGGTTAGCAGATAATTAAACCAAATGAAATTATTGATAATAATACTAAAACTAACCCAAGCCATTAATAATAATTTCGTATGCATGAGGCTGATTTGCCTGTAATAGATCCATATATCCAACTCAAGTTGACCTTAAAATTTTCTTCCTGAATGTAATTAAAGTTTGATTATTTTTGAAGATATTGCTTATTTCAAGTTAACTATAGATATCTTGAAATGGCAATCATAGCAATTAAAATAATTCTAGTTAATTTCTCGGTTAAATAGAATTATATATATTCAGAATTATGACTATGCCAAATTAATTTGTTTAATTTTGTGATTACATTGTATATAGTATAACATTACTTATTTGCCTTTAACTTAAATTCATTGGGTACTTTGAATCTAAGATATATTTATTCTAGTATGTACCAATATTCTTTGGAAATTATAGACATTACGCGTACCAAGAATAGGCGTAATTTCATTGATTGGAGATTCCCTAAAATATTTCTTTCAGAGAGCATGAAATTTTACTGGAAATATTTCCATACTTGAACAGTAGGTAAAATGAACAAACCTTGTTTTACCATAGTCGATTGGTACTTTTTCTTTTATGGGAGTCTATTATTTTTTGACGAAATATAGTATAATTATTAAAGTTTAATGGTTGATTAATATTAAATTTTGACAATACATTAGTAAATTGTTCATCTATGAAATTATTTGGATATTTGTTTAATAGAAATGCTATCCGTAACTTTTCACATTAATCTAAATATGTCTGAAAAGTTGAGCAATATCGAAGAGCCCGAAGTAGCATAGTAAAAATCACATTCTTCTTCTTCCAATGTAATAGATGAATGCTATTAAATGGCAGATAATACGATTCATAAGATGGCTTCTGATAAACAGTAGTAAATAATTGATCATGTTGATTTTTTATATGTAAATCCAGGAAATCTGCAATAGAACCTTTATTTTCTGATAATTTAATATTTTCGTCAAAATGATTTCATCGATCGATTTGTTTAAATTAATGTCGAGCAGGCCAGTTAATTGCAATAAAAATATTATCAATATATCGGAAATACAGTCTGCTACTATTGTTAATTTGTTTAATAATTTGTTGTTCATAAAAGAGCATATAACAGTTAGCAATAGTTAATGTGAGAGGAGAACCAATTGCTTCTCCTCGAATTTGATGATAATATTGGCCATCATAAGAAAAATAAATATTTTGCATAACAAATCGACTTAATCTAATTACTGTTTCAATTTTGAGACCACCGACTTGTTTTAATTTTAAATGATCTAACATTTTCTTTAATGACAATACTCCTTCTGTCTGCGGTACCATAGTATAAAGATCTGCTACATCAATTGTATTATGTAAAGTTTCTTCACGCATATTTGTCTTTGACCATTCTTGTAACTGTTTTATTAATTCAAAGCCACAAGTTACAGTTGTTTTTGCAGCCATTCTATCAAATAATGGTTGTAATAATTCGTCGAGAAATTTTGATTTTTTAACTGAAAGATGTTTGAGACCGGAGACTATTGAACGAAGAGGTGTACCTAGCTTATGTGCTTTAGGTAAATAATATAATTGTGCAAGTTCAACGTATTTTGGATTAATACATCATTTTTCACATTTTTTCTGAGTAATCCATTTAATCAATCGCAAGTCCAACAAATCTTTATTTGCTTTTTTTAATTAAATCTGATAATGGATCATTTGTTCCTCAGCATTTATATGGGTGAGTTTTAGCCATATATTCATGGAATTTTTTATGATAATTTTCAGATTTACCTTAATGGAATACCTTTGATTTATCAGATTTTCTTAATATTGTGCGCAACTATTATTAGTATCGCTAATATGGTCGAAAAATTATTAGATTGTAATCGACAAGCAAAAAACAAAAAGCTTACTAAAGAATATTGTTTTCTGTGAGGATGAAGTTGACGTATCCACTTCTTGTGAGTTGTTATCACACCTGATGATACACCATTTAGCCAGGTCGACACGCGTTGTATGATGCTCGTAATCTGGAACAGTAAACTTCGATTGACAGGAAGAACTTGATGAATAGCTCCACTGACTGGTATATTTTTTCCCTGAAAGCTAAATTGACATTCATTATATTTCTCAGCAAAGTATCAGTTACCTTGGAACCGTAGCATGGTACCATTGGCGCTTTGCACTAAATGAAAAATTCTGTCTTTCTAATTGCTTCAACTTCCGTGCTATTTGTTTGAGTACTGGATGTAGACGTTTCCAAAATCGGCTTTGGAAGCTGGCAACCGTGGTATACTGTTCTTTTCTCAGGCAATCAACTTTCTGCAATCCCACAATGAATATGAAACGGATGCGGGCGGCAGTATATCGAAATCGCTGCACCTTCAACCTTGCTTTTTCATTTTCTCTTCGATTGCATAATATGCTCCTGCTTCTGGGGATTCAGCATCGATATGATACTTCAAATCTTCAGTAGTGTCGAAATCGTTAACTAGCTACGAGTTTTAAAATTCTTCCTCGACTTTTAAAAATGAGAATTACAATTCGAGAATTCGGATGATAAATTTTACGAGTTCTAAAAGTTTATAATTCGAATATTCGAATATGAAATTTTTCGAGCTTTCAACAATTTGAATGTTCCAATATTCCAAAAATTGTATGTTATGAGTGTCTGTTGTTTCGTAGCAACCGCAACAGTGCGACGTCAGCTGCTGGTATAAGCCTTGTTGTCAGTTGTTGTTGGGAACCCATACCAGTGCGATGCGGTTTATGAGTGTAAGTCTTACTGTCAGTCCGTCTTGAGGACCCACATTTGAGAGCTCTTGTAGCATCACACAATGACATATAGCCGCTTAGGTGATGACTGCGGTGTTTCTGGTGATGCTAGAACCATTCGAGATGAGGCTACTAGCGTTCTACACAATTTCGACAACATTTTCGGAATTGCTGGTAGCATCCCATATGGAACGAGTAGCATCGCCGGTTGTTCTGGTAACATTATAGGTAATTCTGGTAGCATCCCTAGTGAACTCAACCGTTTCGCAGGTGTTGCTGGTAGTATCCTAGGTGATACTGTCATTATCACAGATAAAGCTTGTAGCATGCGAGATGAAGCTAAAAGAACATGAGGTGATGCCAGTAGCATCGCACGTGAAGCTTGTAATATCCCTGGTTATGTTAGCAGTATCTCTGGTAATACTGGTAGGATTCTACCTGTCGCTCGGAGGTGTACCTCAGTAGTTGAATATTCGAGTTTTCGAATAACTGACGGGTTGAATATTGAAATGCGCGGATATTCGAATAGTTCAATAGTTGTAACAGCTATTTGAATTTTTGTATATATGAAAGTCTTTCGCCATGTTTACTTGAAACGAATTCCAAAGATCTGTAGGTCTTGCTCGGTTATAATATTGAAGCATCATACAGAGAACTGTTCGTAGCTGTCTTGATATCTGGAAGATGAGCGTTTCAGTTATGTATCTTTCAAACTCAGAATTTTCACGTAGTAGACCTCGTCTTTAGCAGCTTTCATGAAGGTTCGGCAGACTTGGTCATCTCTGCAGTTTTAAGATCATGAAAACTACTGGCATTAGGAGTATGTTACAGTAGTAATCGAACCGGAAAGCAATCTACATCACTTCGGCGGCGAGAGAACATTCCACTAATGACGGTCCCACCTCCTAGCCATCGCTTGCAGGTTCCATCGCAGGAAAAGTAGATTGAGACTTCATATCATGGTACAGCTAATGTCTAACATTTGAGCATTTATACTTCCATTTAAACGATTTGATAAACGTTGCACCTTTTGCAACAACTGTTTCAGTATTTGTCGTTCATTTGCTTCAGCAAAATAAACCGATTACAGATTTGGAACATAAACGATAATCAGATATCAGCATGAGATCTGTCATGCCATAGAAACACAAAAGCTCTCATTGAAGCTTTAGGTGTACTCACATCTCGCGCATTAAGATGTGTTTTAATTTTGAACCCGTTTCAAAATTTCTTGAGCGACTGCCATTCTTTCGTGAATGGTTGTTCCAACTCAATGTGAACATTATGATGTCGCTAGTAGACGTATTCAAAAAACGATACGATACTTTTCACAGTAGAACAGGTTTGCCAGCTAATATGATCACTTTTTTTCCGTTAGTAGGTATGGACTATAGGGAACTACTCATCTATTGTCTACTTCATCCTTGCGAATGCTTATAGTGATTGCATTGTCTTTTCTGCAATAACGTGAATAGTTATCTTTATTACCCTTGGTCTTGTTTTGGAATTTCCTTGGAAACTGTTTTGAACACTTTTCATCTTGCGTACCAGGAGACTGAGTACAATGTTGCACATGGTCTATGAATCATATGCCTTCTCACAGATTCATATAAGTGTGACGACCGGTCAGGATCGTTTATTTCATTGGATACGATACACCCAACAGATTTTTCATCCATTGGCAGGACTTCGTTGCCCAAAACTATGAGCCTGTGGTAGTGTGGCAAGCCATGTATTTGAAGATTGACTAGGAACACATTGGTTATCGTTCGTCCGAAAATGTGCTTCTTGAAGAAATCATCAGTAAATTCGTTAAGTTCCAGCGTACAGACTTTCGTAATAAGATCAGAGCTATCGGACAGGTTGCCGTCAGAGAAAAGGCATTCTTCGATTTCTTTCCATGTTGCATTACAAGTAAATCTGATGAATAAGTGGGGTTTCCATATATTTGGACAATCACCATTACTTCCTAATAATTCTGTTACATTATTCTCGTACTTTCTTGAAAAATTGACGGAAGAGTTATGATTCGTCCATGTTTCAATCGATCTATCTCGACGTTATTCGCCTAATGATTCATCAGATCTTTATACCATTCTATTCTGTGAGGCTTGCAATTTTTTGATGAACTGCAAGACGATCTTGCTCAGCTTTCATATAGACCTTGACAATATGTTACCAAAACAAATTTCCTTCATAGTACTTGGTAACGAAGTTACGACGAATGGACCATCTATGGTCGTATAATAGAAGCAACGATACTTTTCTACGATTTCGTAATCGGCTGATTATTTTCTTAGCAAGGTGCCTTCCCTTACCTCCCCTATAAGATGAGTCGATATGTTGGAACTTCAATATCTTAACCTACGAAAACTACAACGACATTATTCACTGTTGAATTATTGTAGAGTCGTTGATCATGACTTCGGTAATTGGTGTGAAAAATCATGCAAAGTGTAGATGATACCAATTTCTTACTATTAATTCAATCAGTTTCTTCTAATTCTTCTTCAGGCCTCACCTCGAAGGCTGAAACAAAAGGACTAACCCTCTGCATTGGACCACCGAGTTTACGGCTCCCCGTTTTATTGCAGTTTTTCGAACACGAAGAAGGATTCCAAGATGTAGAGTTGCCTAAATTGGGCTCAGCGATCATGCTTAGCGTGACGTCATCCCACTCGATGATGAATTCTTCCAGGAATGCGAAAACAGTAGAACTGAAAGCTTGTGGCAAGTCAATGTCACATCACATCGATGGAAATCAAAGAGAGTTTTCAAAATTGCTAATGTATTCGTAAAAATTTCGTTATTCAGTATTGGTTCCTTGTGGAAAAGTTTTTCTCAACTGGACATGAAAGAAGCTCCAGAGGTTGAACACACCTATAGTGGCAATACTGTTTGATCTCATTCCTGTGTATCAGAAGGGCAATCGCTGGTCTCATATAAGACATTGGCGTGTTGCCATCGATTATACATTGCTGCATGATAAATTTCAAGCGGAAATTCGCCTCGAAGTGTAGTAGCATAGAGAAATGAGCTTTGCTGCCTACGACGACGATGACGAAAAGCAGAAAACACTTGCTGCTCATGCCCTTCATGATTAGTCTGTTACTTACATAGTTTGTGGTCTTGTAATAAATTCTTTGCTTTTTGTTCACGTCGTTTGCCACCAATCTCTTGCTGCCTTTTTCTTTCCGCCCATGAAACATCCTTTCACTTTCGGTCTTGCTTTGGTTCCTACAACGCTTCAAAGTGTTGTTCTTGATGCATTACCGCGTCCTGCTGCAATCGTTCCTCTCATCTCTGTGCTTTCTAGTGCACGTCCTTGTCGAATTCCATCGATTCGATCAAATGTTTTTAATCTATAGATCTAATGGGCGGTTCCAACTGCAGCCTACCAAACAGCCTCGTTCAAGTGCGAGGTATTTCTATGACCAAGCGTTGTTCATATCGACTTTTCATATTCACAATCACATTCCAGAATTTTTTTATGCGTCATTGGTCATTAACATTAGAAAAATGATATGATTGCAATTTGACGGGCCTGATTATGCCCTGTGTAACCTATCAAGGGACTTTCGAGACCACTCTGGATTGCGTATCGTCTCGGGACACAGGATATTCTAAAAAGCTACGGTAAAACCTTTGAGTACCAAAGCATAATCAGTGATACAGAGAACAGTAGA